TTTGGATCTGACTAAGAAGTAGACCTAGGAGTCAAATGAGGATAAAATGCTTTATTAACAATGCGATTGTGTACATAGAAAACAAAACAATTTGTGTTAAAAGTAGATTAATAAGAAGAATTGGATACAAGTCCAAAATACAAATATCAGTAGTGTTGCAACATACTGGCAGCAAATAATTTAAAAGAATTCAAAGACGCGAATTGTAGAAGTACCATAAAAATCAAATACTTAAGGAATACACATGCAAGCCTTATGAAGCATTGCTGGGATAAGCTAAGGAAGTTCTCAGTAAATGTAAACGCTCTGTGGCATGCACGATCTGGGTAGCAGTCACATGGGTGTGTAAATAGTTGTTGATTTGTACAGTAAAGATTTCTTCACTTTACCATGTGTGATTTTAAAAGTTAACCCAAAAAATGAAAAACAAACAAACAAAAAACCCCAAACTGACTTGTGGACATGGATTGCAGGTGTGGCCACAATAGACTTGTGAACACTTGACCCCAGGACCGGTCAGATGAACCCGTGAAGCCGACTGGCCCAGCTGGATAACTATAGCCCACATTTACCAGATGCCAGAGAACCGACCAGAAACTCTGAGTACTGCCAAGGATCTGGCTCCAGATGGGAGAGACAGGGGTTGAACTGAGCATGCCCAGTTTCTTTTTCTAAATATGCCTATAAGATGAATCCTCTTCTCCTCTCATTAGGTGAGATAAGAGGCCTAAGGTGTTACTCAGTAGAAGTCTCTTCACAAAAAACAAACAAACAAAAAACATTAATTGAAGGAAAATAAAGGCATATCTCCTTAATCTTGACTTGTAAGTCAGTCTCCTCTCATTTGTGTGACAATGGAACCTATGCTTACGCAGTTGTACAAGGACTTAAAAGGATAATGTCTGTGAATGGGCTTGTTAAGTACCAATAGATGTTGAATTGGAGAAGCAAAGTTATACAAACTTTAGAGGGGAAAGAGAACTTCAGGAAGATAATCTGACTCATTCATGGTACTTTTTAAATTAGGAAACTGAGACCCAGGGAGACACAGACCCTGGCCCAGGCTCCATGGTCTTTAGAAATGTGTCGTTGATGTATAGGGCAGAACTGCCTCTGGGCCCCAGTGGTTCACATGCCTAGTCCTGAGTCTTTCTTCTCGTAGGCTCTGCAGAACAGCCACCCTAAATGTCAGTGGATAGAATTGCTGACCCTTTCCCCAACCACCAAAGGCGTCCTGTTTTCACAAGGTACACAGCCAACCCCTCCCCCGTGGAGGCCCGCCTGCTACTGCTCCCGGCAGCAATTTGTAGCCCTTGTTGTGCTTTCACAAAAGGAATGAGATTGCTGTTTTAGAATCAAGGTAGCTATTTTCACAATCCACTATGGAGTTGTTAGGCAGGTATTCTTTTGAAGGTAAATAAGCACAGGCGACTCCAATTATTTGATTCCATTTAGTGTATCAGAAAAGGTAATGCTTTAATGATACCCTCGTGGTCTATAACAGTTAATGCACCACAGAAAATGAATCATAAAATCCCCTTTTCCCTAATAACACTGAGATTAGTGTTATGAAAAGGCACTAAACCCAGGGAATTGAAATGTTTTCACCCTCTTACCAAGTGACAGTATTATTAGTTTGGATGTTCTATTCACTGATCATGAAAATATAGGGTCTTTGGGGAATAGAAAACCTGTAACATATTCTGTTGCTTTGATGATAGATCCTGGCAACATTACCTGTTGACAGTCGCTCTGGCAAAGAGAGTGGTCCTGCGAAGGCCAGATGATTTTCTAGCCACTGTCACTCCTTCCCAAATGGTGGTTTCTACTGAGCTGGGCCAGCATACCCCTCACATGCAGACCGGGTGGGCTGGCTGGGTAGGGGAGTTCACGGGCTCATGTCAGACAGACAAGCACGCAAGCTCTTTGTGTTTATTTTGGAAATGGTGTGGATTCCAAATATGTCCCGAAAACATGTGCCTGGCCTCCTGGCTGTCTGTATGATATCTACAGACTGGATGGGCTTGTCATAGCGGGCTGTTGATAAATTAGACACCAGCGCTTCTTGTCAGAGACAGCTGTGCACATCTGGCACAATCCCAGGGACAAATCTCAAACCAGCTTGACAACCATACTGGCGACAGCAGGATGCCTTGTCCTCTGTCACCAGAAAATCACTACCTCTGCAGGTTTCTAGATCTGCACTTGCGTTTGCCGAGAGTGACAGAAGCACCAAGGGTCATCACCCTCCCTGCACGTGTGAATGGTGAGATAGACAACTCTGGCAGGATTATCATGGACTCATTATGTGAGTATTGTATCCAACAAACACACAAAATAGCAGCTAGTAGTATTATGGATGTGTTCGTTTCTCATTAAAATTAGATGAGTGTCAATTTGTTAAAATTAATAATACTCTACTGATCATTGTATTTATATGCATATATATGCATATGCATACAACTTATGTGTACATATTTACATTTTATAGATGTTATTATACATTATTATATATATAACATAGTTAGACACAAATCTCACCCATAATAACATCAGCAAATAGATACATTTAGAGGGTGGTGTGGCTCAAGAAACGCGTCACCTGTGGCTTGTTTGCCTTGTGTACCTCTGTGTTTCCAGGACACAATTATCACTTACTTCACTTTCAGAAGTGACTCAGTTTGGACAATAAGTTATGTAAGCATCCTAAATAAGGATCAAAAGGAAAACTGAACTCAGAGACAGCCAAGAACTCTTACAGTCTCAACGCTGATGAGTAACACATCCAGTCAACAACCACAGCTTAGGAAAGTTGTATTGGGGACACCAACATAATTTTTAAAATATATATAATAAGTTAATAGCAGTTATCAAAGCAGAAACAAAAACAAGCTCAGTGTCCACAGGCTTGTCCAAAAGAGGGAATTTTCCATTTGGTAAAAAGTTCCCTGTGTTTATTCTCATATTTTCTTATAGTTTGCTCCTGGATTGACAGTAGCAACAGCTTGAAGGGGATGGTTTTGGTATTGACCAGAACCCTTTAAGTGGCTGCTGCTTTGAAGGTTATTTTGCCACTCAATTTTTGTATATATTTTTCCTTTCTTTCTTTAAGTCCTGCTGATTTCTCTGATTCTACCAGCTTTGACATTTAGCTCTAGCACTTGGAGTTTTTTGGTCTATCTTTCAAGGCTTGTTGAATACGTGTCAAACACAGGGCATCAATTTATCTCTTTTATATCCTAGTATAAAAGAGAGGGAAAGCAAAATAACACTGAGAGCCAGGCTTCTGGGCGACAGACATAAGTTACCGTATTTCAATGACTTCATACAATTTTTGTGGGAAGAATGTTTGCTTTCTGTTTTACAGAACTTTGCATATTTATTTTATATGGTTTGATTTTAAAATGTCCTTTCTGCCTCTCTTACTCGTTATTTTGTCTCAGAAAATGTCCTTTTTCTAACTGGAAAAATAATACTTGAGCAAATCACACTTTTAACAATTTCCTAGGAAGCAATGGCTGAAGATGGGTTAAAATTGAAAATGTCCCCCCTTTCACCCTGGCCTGGGTGTTTTGGGTATATCACTCTTGGATAGGTTAACACGTATCTTTTTTCACTTTCTGAACTATATCTAAATAGATTAGCCTTTAAATAGAATTCTTTAGAAATGCCGTATTTCATTTCAAGCTCAACAACAAAGTCAAAACTCTTTACCATTTCTTTCAAACATTCCAAGCTCTCTAACTCCCTTTATACTTTATGCTCCTCTCCAGTCTAGGAACCATAGTGTCCAGTGATCTATTCAGCCTGGAACAGAGAGGCCAGCTGGCCAGGGTGCCAGGAGCCTCATGGTGTTCTCAACCCCACATGCAGGTGAACTCGCTGTCTTTCCCAACATCGAGGGCCTGGACCACACATCACATAGTCCCCTCCTCACTATCAGCCAAACAGGGGAGGGAAAGCCTTCTGCAGAGAGAAGCAAAATTTTGGAACTAAGTACAAAATCTCAGAGTTATGCCTGTGGTGTGTTCCAGCCAACTCTATTTTGTTTTCCAAACCTGTTACTCTTATTTCAGCAAACTTAACTGGTCCAGAGTTTCTTATCCATATGTTAAGTGTTGTGGTTGAGACTTCTGCTGTGAAAACTTCTGCTGTGAATTTGAACGTTTCACCTAAAATGTCAGATGGCATACTTTAGTGAGATACTGTTATGTTACAGAATTACATGCTTATGATTTTGTAATACAAAAGGGGTGTTATTTGTACCAGATCCTGTGCAATGCAATACTGTGCTTGTGAAACTGTGTGGCAATTTCACAAGAACCTTTGATTACCTGTGACATAGGTAGAAATGATTGCACTGTTTTTTCAGGTTCACTGGTAAAAGCTAAAAGCTAATACATGTAGTATGGCTCTTCCACCAAGAAACATTTTACCTGAGTTTCTAACAATTAGTAAATCTGATTCTAATACTTTTGTACTGCCAGTCACCTATAAAAAGAAACTCATACTACCTAGCTCTTCTTCTTACTCTGGGTGTTTGTGGCCCTGAATATCACCCAAACAAAATATCAAGGTTTAAGTAATGTACCACTACTTGATATACTGTGGATTGCAGATTTTTATGGCAGATATCAAAAACATTTTTCCAGTACTGCAATATAGGGAGAATTTTAATATAAGTCACTGTGAGCTGAGAGGTAATAAGAGTTATTCCCATTGCCCCGTAAGGATTTCCTTCCAATATTTGAAAAGTAAAGTGTTGGGTCTTTTTTTTAATTTTTTAACTCTATGAAATCTGTTTTATGTGTTATAAAACCGTTATTGAATTTAGAAAATAAAACCGAATGAACTGTTTGCAGGCAGAATATATGAGAGCTAGTCACAAGGCTTGAGTAGGTGGGCTTGGCTTTCCTGCCTTGAAAAGCTTTTGGGCATTACACACACAGGCCTGGACTCCATCACAGCAACCTGGGCAGCCGTCTGTTTTTATGTTACAGGCAACGAAAGCTTAGAAGAGAACTATGTCCAGGACAGTAAGATGGGCTTCGTCATCAACGCCATCTACGCCATGGCCCACGGGCTGCAGAACATGCACCACGCGCTCTGCCCGGGCCACGTGGGCCTCTGCGATGCCATGAAGCCCATCGACGGCAGCAAGCTCCTGGACTTCCTCATCAAGTCCACGTTCATCGGTGTGTCTGGAGAGGAGGTGTGGTTTGACGAGAAAGGGGACGCTCCTGGAAGGTAAAGCCCTTTCCCATAATGGATCTGAATCGCCTGTGAGCCTCCCTGAGCCTGACACATGGCGATTCTGTCTCCCTTTGGTTCCTTGGTTTCTGGGTGTCGTGAGCATGGATACAACTAGAGAGCTGAACAGACGGGGCTAATATTAGATGGAAATTCATTTGAAAACATGGCAAAGCTTACTGCAAACATGCACAGTCCTGCGTCCTGCCAGTACTACACCTCTACCCAGCTGTCACTCCATCCCTTCCCAGAGAACACCTGGGACCACCCTGCCACCCCAGGAAACTTAAGGGATTACGCCTAACCAGCGGAGCTCTCCCTGGCCCTGCCAGGGCCAGGCCAGAGTTGCTTTCTGATTGATTTTGCTGCAAGGCCATGATGGCTGTAAAATATTTTAATACCACCCCTGCTTACAGAGTCTAATATATGAAGAGAATAAAGCTGTATGCAGGTATCCTTTATTCTCAGGCTACATGGTATTCTGCCTGGAACAAGAAAGGAAAGAATTTCCTTTCTGGTATTGAGTTGCTTTGGCTTCCAAAGAATTCATCAAGAAGCAGAGGAGCCATAGCTGGAGTAGCACAGTGGATTGAGCATAGGCCTATGAACCAAAGGGTCACTGGTTCAATTCCAGTCAGGGTACATGCCTGGGTTGCAGGCCAGGTCCCCATTTGAGGGCACACAAGAGGCAACCACACATTGATGTTTCTCTCCTTCTCTTTCTCCTTCCCTTCCTCTCTCTCTAAAAATAGGTGAATAAAATTTTAAGAAAAAAAGAACCAGAGGAAAATTGAATCTATTTAATATATATGTAGTTTCCTAAGTCATTTTATGTTTAGTCTGTTCTGCGACACTCTCTTTTGCAACACCAGTTAGCGCATGTTTCTTTGGTACATGGAGAATGATGTCAGTACGAAGAATAGTTATACTTGTTTATATGAATTTTTGGAGACCAGGCATAATCAGAAGAGTTAAATAGGGACTCAGACTTGCAGCAGGAAGGAAAAACTCTGAGCTTGGCTGCTGCACAGTGTGCCCACAATCTTGTCTTTTGCTCGTAAGCACTGTCTTTCAGTACATGATTTTGCAGAAGGAGAGGTTTTAGGGAAGCATATGCTGTGTTGGAATGGAACATCAAGTCATTTAATCCTCACAGCTATAAGCATAGCTTTTCTGTTTTTTTACAGCGGATAACACTCAGTGTCGAGAAACCAAGAAAATTCCCTAAAATCACTCCAAGAGTAGCTGATGGAGGCAGTGCTGCCTGAATCCGAGACTTTTAGTCTTTTTGCCACATCACTCTGCCTTTTAGCTCATCCTAAAATTAGGCGAGGCTGCTGGCAGAGTTCTTAATGTCATTTGAAAGGAACTGCAAGAGACTATTTGGGAGACACTACTGGAAGAGACCCTAAATAATTCCCTACATAGCTCTTCTTTTCATGTAAGCTTTACATTCTGCATTTAGAGAATGACTTGTGGGGCCCAAGTGGATTCTCCCTGTTAAAATCCAACAGCTCTAAGAAGAGAAATTTTATAAGCAATTCTCAGCAATTAAACAATGCATTTATTAGATCCCTCCCAAGCTTCCATTAGGTGGGAGCAGGTTTAGGGAAAGACGTGACTGAGAGATGGATGGAATGACTGAGGGTCTGGGCATGTGGAAAGCCTGCTGGTGGGGAACACCTTAGGAAGTGACAGAAGGAAGCAGTGGGTCTGAGAATCAGACCACCATTTCCCCCCTTTAAACCCATGGTTGTAATGCTGGGTTCCACTGGGAACTAAGTTCTGTAAAAGTTCGGATTTGGAATGGAAACCTCCCTTCCAGATTCTATACGATAACATACACAATGTGCCCAGCAAGCGGTCAGATGCATTTTAGATACTCAATAGATAAGTTATCCAAAACATAGGCACACAGTTTTAGCTTGTTTCTTCTCCATCTTTAATTACATATTTAAATCACGAGCCTTCCCCTGGGTCTCTTCTCAAGGATTGTTTCCTCGTGTTTGAAACTGATCATCTTCATTTGTGATTAGTTTCTGTTTCAACCACCTCCCTCTGCTTCCATCTCCTGTCATAATACCATCCAAGCTTTTCGGTTCCTCTTGTCATTATTTTAGTTAGTCATCATGTAGTGTAAACTGGGTGATCGAGAGAAGGTTGTAAAGATGTACTTTACAGCCTGAGGATGTAAATTACATGACAGTAATTTACATGACAGTCCGAGTCAATGCCAACACGCTGAGAAGGGACTCGGGCCAGCAGAGAAGAGCAGGGTCCCGTGCCTGTTGCTCACACAGTGAAGGGGGTGGCCCCTCTGCAGTAAGTCAGCACTTTTCCCCTGGTGATTTTCAGTATTTTATTCCAATGGTTTTGGGACTTTTTCAAAATGTGTTTTCATACCTAAATATTGTTAGTTTTTAGTTTCTACATGCTAATGAAGTATGAACTGGTTTCTCCCTCAGGAAGAGCAAATGAGGAAGTTGAAATAAAAGTCTTAGAAAACTAATTTATAGGAAAAAAAAGGTGCTCTAAAGCTAGCATTACATTCAAACCTTCATTGAAAGTACGTAAGGAGATTTAATGATGTAATAATGAGCAAAACATAAAAATGAAAGGAAATGAAGAAGGAAAGTATTCATAGGGAACATTCACAGCAGGTGCTATACCCATGAGTTTAAAATGGAAAACTATTGGAGGTGTAGATTAGTATCATTGATCAGTAGATACTAATCTACTGTGGGCTGATGGCCCATCAGCCCACAGTTAATAGCCACGCGGATATCACTTAGCCAGTCACTCTGAAAAACATTCTGGTATGTCTTAGCAACCACAAGAATAAGAACCCACTGGTAGCCAAAAGTCAGAACAGGCAAGAGATGTAACTCTAGGTAAGTTTTATGTCCCTGGAAAAGCAGAGAAAAGACATCCTTTATTCTCACAGAGTCTCCCCTTTCCATTTAGGGGGTTGCTATTTATGGAAATTGCCAGAATCCGGATGTGAAGAAAGCACTAGCTACCTGTGGGTGACAAAAGGCATTTGCACAGTAAGATCAGGAACTAGGCCAGATATAGCCAAAGATTTCAGATACCAACTAAGGTGGACTGGTAGTAGCTTCCTGGAGTGTTGGGCTGAGGAGGAGTCTGAGTCTGAACCGGTTTAGAAAGAATTCCAGGATGAATGAGGAAGGGAAATTGGGAGGAGGAGCAGGAGAGCTAAAGAAGAGAAATATGTGTTGGTTAATTGCCATCTATTTCTTTGGGTCAAGGGCACAGAGCCAGAGACAATGCCTCTGATGTCCTAGTGCAGAAGGGTGAAAACCCTGCAGAGGCACCACAGAAAACAGTCCCACTTTGCAGGGTCCAGGGAGGGCCAGGCCTTCGTTTCCGGGAAACTGCCACATGAGTTATAATTTCCTTGGAGTACATAGCAACATGCAGAGAAGATTGAAGGCTGCCAGAGAATTTCCAATGACAGAGAGATAAATGGCTGTGCCAATTCAAAGATGTTCTCCAGTTTTCTTATGATAATGGAAATAACCAGAGTCTTATTAAGGCATTCACAGAAATACACATGTGAATGATATGTTGATACTGCTTTCCAAATATGCCTTTGCCCCAGTCATGAAAGGGTTTTTATGTACCTTATGTTCAAAAATTCCCACAAGAAGCCCATGATCCTTAAGGAGTTTAGTGGCATTCCTCAGTAGTTTAACCTACCGTTAAAAAGGTAGAAAAGAGATGCCACCTTACACATCTCAGTGCCAAGTCCTGCCTTGTTTTCATTGCACTGGGAAATACTCTTCACTGCCAACAGTGGAGAATGATGAGGTCTGGTCCCCAGAGCACACTATGGCTGCAGCCAAGATTTCTATGTGTAGATTTGTCTGTGCATAGCATTGCAGCATTTGAAATTACAGAAATGTTTGCCCTAACCAAGGAAGAGACAAGTTTAAATGTCAACATGTTAAATCCCCAACACCCTTGTTAATTTAGGATGCATTTCTCAGATTTCTTGCTCTAATGGCATTTAAAATAGGCTCCAAACTTGAGAAAATTCACCTCTATCAATCCAGTGTAATAAAAATGGCAACTGAATGTAAATTAAAAAAAGAAAATTGGAATAAAAGAAATCAAGTTAAGAAATTAATATTCTCAAGACTTGTTACTTGTTCGAACAAAAACTTAGTGAACAATACTTTGGAGAAGATGATGAACTCAGCACACATAGACACATGGAATTAGTTTTCAGGAAATAAGCATAGGGAAAGTATAAGACTACTATATTCTTTAGCAAATATGGATAATACACGGGATCTAAGATTGGAATACACATTTGGGAAAATTAGAGGAAACATTACAAATAAACTAAAATGTCAATAGCAGTTGGTATTAGGACATGGGATGATTCTAGCTTTTATTCTCCTTCTCTCCATTCTATATTTGCCAGATTGCTTTGTTGTCTGCAGTATGTCCATATTCTCCATGACACACATGCTGTTTTCTTTGCAGGTATGATATCATGAATCTTCAGTACACTGAAGCTAATCGCTATGACTATGTCCACGTGGGCACCTGGCATGAAGGGGTGTTGAACATCGATGACTACAAAATCCAGATGAACAAGAGTGGGATGGTGCGGTCTGTGTGCAGTGAGCCTTGCCTGAAGGGCCAGATTAAGGTGAGCCCGCCACAGATGTGTTCTTGGATGGTGTTCATGAGGAAGGCTTCTACCTGGACATAAGTAAAGAAACACAGACATTTTTCTTAAACAAGGTTGTCCAGAAAGAATCAACCAGTCTTACTCTTATTATGCTTGTGGTTAGCTAAGATAAAATAAAATAAAACAAAGAAGATTAGCACATGGAATAGAGAAACCATTTGAATACTTAGAAGAATATTTAATTAAATCACTATGATGAGGCAGGATTTTAAATACAATATAGAAAGCAAGGGGATGAATAATCCGATTTAAAAATTGAAACAGAAGTAAACCTGGAAACCCAAACCAATGGTACTGTTTAGTCATAGTTCTAGCTGCTGTTAAAGAAAGCAGAAGCTGAACAATGCTAAATAAGCATTTAACTAAAATAAAAGAAGCTGAAATGAGGTAATGCAGAAGCACAGCTTATCATTTCTCCACTGGGTGCTTTGATTTTTCCTAAAACTGGTATTTGCTAGTCAAGAGAGATTCCTCACTTTCTAATTATTCTCAAGTGGTTTTTTTTAAAGCTTGGGACAAATGAGTAACCATAATATTACTGTATACATAAAACTATGGTAAATAAACATCAAATAGTGAGCACTTAGCTGGACGTGCTAGAAAGAATTCTTGGTGAAGAAGACAAAGAAACGGCCCTCTCTGTAAACCCTGCTTGAACCGAATTGGATGATGCATTAGGAAATGGAGGGGAGGGGACTGGTTGAGAGACGGCAAGGGTGTAGAGTAAATGGCCTAACGAGTCCTTCCATCTCTAATTTTCTGTGATTCATCTCTGGGAGCAGACAAGGCTGTCACATAAATGTCTCACCCAGCAGAGCTGAATCTGGAGCAGATGCTGTGGGTGGCTCTGGCCGTCACCGTGAGGCTATGGCCATGATGCTGTGCTCTCTGGGGAGCTGTGGGACTACCTACCCAGGGGTGAAGGGCACTTAAGTGTCTTAGGGCAAAAAGCCAGTCATGCACAGAAGTGTCCATATGGAACCTGGAAAAGCTTTATCACTCCTGGTCACAGAAGGTGGACAATGGCATTTAAACATGTTACCTGCAACATGTTACAGCAGCTACTAAAGGCTTTGCTGATGGACTCAGCCTCTCAGGGATACCAGCCACTTCAAGATGAAGCAAACTGCTGAGACAATTCACCCTACAAGTAGCTTGCGCCTTCTCTGCAGAAGTGATGTTAAAAATATTTAATAATTGTCATGACAACTCACCAACCAGAATGGGCTCCATTCTAGTGCTGTGACAGCTTGCTGGCCACCACCTGCCATGTTTACAGTTAATCCTTAAGTTGTTAGATTTTGGGGAGATTTAGGCAAGGGGTCCTAAAAAGCTCACAAAATGTGGGGTATTCAGGAGGCTTAAAGATATTGTTAGTTTTCACTCAGAGCCCAGGTATCTCCATTGTGTGAGCACAGCTCCAGCCAAACCACCGTGTGCGAGCAGAATGTCATCACTGCTTCTCCCCAGCGCATTTTTGATTCTTGGCCTGATGAAATTCTTTCCCGCAAGACCGTCCTGCGGTATGTAGGAACATATCCTCTAAATCCAGAGGCCCCACATCCCACCGACTGCCGCCATGAGATACTGGACAACTGGATTCTCCATTCATCATCTTTTCTGGATGGTGGAGAAAACAGTACATCGAAGCCCTAAAGTCAAATGATGAAGACAGCACAGAAGCCCTGAGTTCATGAACTTCTGTGGCCCAAACGACGTCACAGGTTCTACTCAGGCCCCCCTTCCAGTGTGGGTGGTAGCATAGAGTCTGTCTTGCAGACAACTGCTGTGAAACAGTTCATGGAACTACAAAGTCGACTTCTTCAGAGTATAAGGGGGTGGGAGACCCTGGCGAGAGAAAACAAATTGTCCTAAAGATTCACAGTACTCCGGCTCCCTCTCACGATTCCCTCCTGTTCCACCGGTTGCTGGCAGGCCATGAATGGCAGCTCCTACCTGGTGTACATCCCCGAGGTGAGGCCTTTCCCCACACGGGTTCAGAGGAGAGGCTAGCTGCACACATCTGCGCCTAGACGCTGCAGTATTTCTGGCATCACGTTTGCATTACGCCCATGCAGTGTTATTCAGGGAGATTCCACAAATCATTGCTCAGCTGTTACAGAGCATTCTCTATAAATGCAAATGTTCTGGGGGCCAATTTTAGAAATATTGTGTACCCTGCAGGAGGAAAGTAACACCTGGAGTGGAGATGAATTTCATTTTCTGAATAATGGCACTTGTATTCTTTCTTATACCACCAATTAGCCACCTACTAGGCCCCAAATGCACACAGTCAGGTCTCTTGGTAACCACTGCAAAGATGGGGGACAGGCAACTTAGAAGGTGATTGAAGGACTTGGACTTGTATTAACTGGGAAACACAACCTTTAGGAAAGGGGTATTTGTTTTAAATAACAAATGCCATTGAAAGTGCTGAAATGATCATTTGACTTCTTTTATGATAGCCCATAGAACTTTCTCAAGGTAATTGTCCTTGGTTCATTTAATCCACTGAGCCACACCAGCCAGGACTGGTAATTCTCTTTGAAGCAGTTAAAATCCCAGTTTACTTGTGCTATTTTTAGAAATATAAATAAAATATCATACAGAAGCAGAGGCTGGCTTTAGCTATGCCACAAACACAGGAAAATAAAACCAAACTTTGCATTGTCTCATGTTATATTAAGTTATATTTGGGTTCATTTAGAAAAAAATAGAGCCCATGCCAGTGGTTTGATAGAGGGAATTTAATATAAGAAGGAATTATGAAAGTAGGAGGGACTCAGAGGCAAGTCATAGATGAGTAACAGCAAGAATAATTCCTACCCCCGGGCCAGAAGGACTCGGAGAAGCGTCAGCTGCTACTCGTGATGCCCTGTGAACTAGAGCAGGAAAGGGTACCTGGGCCACTGCTTTCCCCTTCACTTCACTGTCCCATTGGGTCCCCGTATTTTGCTAACCTTATCCTGAAGACGGGTGGCCAGAGAGCCTGGTCAATGTCATTCACAGGTACTTAGCTCAGGTTCCCTTGAACACTTGAAACTCAGCAAAGCTTAAGGGCTAACACATTATTGGGAGGTAGAATCCCTGAGAAGCAGCTGGGAGAGGAAAAGTGAAGTGAGGCAGGAAGGATGGGAAAATAGCACAACCAATAACAATGTGATGCGTTACTGAGTGGGATGCTGTTGGTCTGAGCATCGCTAGTCTGTCGGTCCCACAGGGAGGCTACTCGGGCTACTTATTGAAGTGAAAAGGACAGAAGCATGTATGCACCCGTGCCATCCTGTTTTCTGTTTCCTGTGGCCAGAGTTCGCTCACTGGAAGTAGCATCACCTGACCCCATAGGCAGCTCCTGAGGAAGCCAGAGTCCATGTTCTGTTACATGGAAGCAGTGAGTGGAGAGAAAGCCTTTGTGGGTCCCATGTAGTCTGGTCTGGACTCCTGCTGGGGTGAATGCAATGCGGGCGGTTCCAGAATCCAGTGCCTGTTTCATGCATGAGACAGCTGGAGAGGGCAGAAGATGAGGCAGCAGTGAGGGAGGGTGACATGGGGCCACAGAAGTGTCCAGAACTCTCCAAGGGTCCACGGCAGTGGGCCTAAGAGACAGAGCAGGTGAAGAGAATTTGAAGCAGCACATAAAATGCAGTGGATCTGCAAGGGAGCAGCAAGTGTCAGCACGCAGGTCGTTCTCCCACACCAAGCCTGCTGCTGTTTCCATGGTGTGCAGAAGGGGCCGAAAGGCAAAGGAGGACACGGCACAGAGGGAAAGGAGGCCGTGGAGATCGGGGACCACACTCCTCAAGCGTATTCTTGTGCAGATACGTTTTACAGATATCATCATTCCGATGATCCCTTGAAACGACCCTTTTAAACCAGGTTCTATTGCCCCCAGTCTATAGGTGGGAAACCGCCCCCAGTCAGAGGCCCAGAGGGGTTGAGTCACTTGCTCCAAGCTTCCTCAGCAGGAAGTGCCGGGCTCAGAGCCCGCCCAGAGCTCTGATCATCCCACAGCCCCGCGTTGTTCCACTCTCTTTCGTGATAGGAACTGGCATGTTTCCTACACATGCATATTTTAATTGCAAAGCCTTATGTTTTCAATAATTCACAATAAAATTATGAGCAGAAATCCCCATTTAAAATGCCGTGGGAACAGAGTCTAGAGCTAAGGAAGCAGTACGTGTAAAGGTGGCAGGGAGCGTTTGGTAGAGTCGGGGTGGCAAGCTGGGAATCGAGGAGGAAGACTCTGCAGGTCGCTTCCCCCCCTCCTCTTTTGTACTTTCACTCTAAGTTTGTCTGTGGATTCTTCACTTCAAGTGGATGGTTTGGGGACTGAGAATTTGGGCATGGAAAGTGGAGAAAATCACTACTTTCTACTATTCTCACCTGACCATTCTCGCAGAACTCTGGAGGCTTTTGGTAAACATGGAATATATCGTAAACTGGTTACCCGTTGCAGATGTTATATCACGTAGTAAAATAAACCTTATACATATGGGAGCATTACACATATCTTACAAACTATAAACTTTAGAATTGGGTTAACTATTTTTTCCCTGAATCATTTAAAAGATGAAGTACAAATATCACAAAGCTTCATATCTTCATACTACCTATTCCTAATAAAAAACTTAAAAAAAAAAAATTATAATTTTTTATTGTAAAAACAAAAATCTTAAATCAACTGTTATAAAAAGAAAAAACATTAAAAAAAAAAAAAAGAAAAGAAAAAAAAAAAAAAAAAATAAAAAAGAGACCACTCAACCTCTATTTTTTAAGAATAAGGACAATTGCCACATAGCCATCAGACCAGCTAAGGAAGTTAGCAGTAATATCATAACTCTCACTGTCCCAAACAGCTCTGCTTTCTCTCTTGTGAATCAAAGCAAACTACTCATTTAGTCATTCATAGTTAATGTAACCATTTTGGCAAACAGTGACCCAATGATAAGATTTCTCCATTAAACAATGTTTTCTAAACTCCGTAGCAGCATGGCAGGTTCTCAGGATAAAGTGTCCACAGGAAAGTAAAAAAAAAATCCTTATTTGAGAAGACTATACTTATATAATGATGATGTGAGCTGCCCCAGCTACTAAAAACATACTGGCTAAAATTTTGGGAAAAGTAGAAGACTAAACACTGTTTCTTGTGTTTTGCTGTGTGTGTGTAAACCATAGTTTTTCTGGATGAGGAGGGAACTTTGCAAGCACCAGTCATAATGGGAAGTTCTATAGAATTAGCATTGATTTCTTCATAACCATTCAGTAATGCCTGCATTTTCACTTCTAATGCTTTGGCCTCTTGGTTAGTGAACTTTTTGGTGATCACCATAGCCTCATACCCGACCTGTCCCCAATCACATGAGAGTGGACAGGAGTGCAGCAGGGCTGCTGAGTGCTGGGGGTGGCAGTCACAGAGGCAGAACCCATTTACTTTTCTGAGTAAACATTTTGAGGTATAACATTGAGACAGGAAAGTAGAGGAGGAAGGCAAGGGTGTGGTTACACAAGGTGCTCTTACTGCCCGGTCTTTGTTCCAGCTGTTGCTGCTGCTTAGGACAGTCTCCCACCAGATGCATTCAGGGTGTACTCTCCCTCCCTCTCTCAAACCGTCATTCAGAAGGTGGTGTCTTAGTGGGACCTTATCTGACCACCATATGCAAAATTGCAATCCCCTATTCCAGGTGCCTCCCCATCAGGACTAGGACCCAGGTGGGGGCATGTGGGGTACCTGTGGTACAGATTTTAAGGAGGAACTCACTTTCAAGGTCCTGCAAGTGCAAGGTTGGTACTTCCTCAACCTGAAATGTGCATGCCTTTTTCAATGTGGTCCCTAGATGCTATACTTGCCTCACCTGGGTCCCTGTCCTGAAACTTGTTCTTCTTTCTTGCTGCACTTTTCTCAAAGTCTTTCTCTAGAATGATAGCTCCTTAAGGATGGAGATGTTTTTGGGACACTGGCCACTGAACAGAGGTTGGTTAAGTAAGTACACAGGGTCCAGCACAAATAATGTCCCTTTTTATTACAAAATCTTTTATTATGAAATCATAAGTATGTGATTCTGGAACACAACAATATCACACTCAAGCACACCACATGACATTTCAGGTAAAATGTTTAAATTAAAACTATAAATTATTACACCCATATCATTACCCTATTAATCACACTCAAGCAGGCCTTACTTCTGCTGGACCCTATATGTCTGCTGGTTCTCAGCATAACATATCATCACCCTGATGGCCATTATTACACTAGGAAGAGCCTCGCTCTTGGAAAAAACTGGAGGTAATGTGACGGAGATTTGCACAAGGCACTAATCCCTTCTGAAGCCGTTTTCTAGCTGAAGAATGTACACGATTAACTTCATCCCACCGAGGGAAACTCTGTGTCATTCCGTACAGAGTGAAGAACACACATGGGCAGTTCAGATATGTCTACTCTTGTGATCATTTGGCTTACACCATTATTATTTTTTTCTGTAATAAATTACAGTGCTGTATTTTCCTAAATTGATATTTTTATTTAGTTCTTACAAGGCTCTCTTCAGTTTCCTCTTATTTTTTATTCTCTTTGAATTCTTTATTTCCACTTCTTCTCTTTACATCTTATTCTATATTATTTCCCTCTTGTCTTTCGTATGACTTACTGAATAATAAATATGTGCCAAGAACCATGCCAGCAACTGTGAATGCAAAGGAAATTGAAACGTGGCCTCTTTTTCTGAGAAACTCCTAGTGAAGGTGGAGAAGAACATGCCAGCAATTAGAGTTGATTGTTTTCCGAGTCCTCACCCAGTGGACTGTGGGGCTGCAGGAGGGCAGCGTGGCCTCCTCCCGCAGCTGGTTCTCCTGCAGCCCTAATTAGGGGAGACTCAGTTCCGTATCCTGTACAGTCTCTCAGGTATTTCCCTTTAAAGAATTTTTTCCTGTTTCCTTTGATTTATAGCTACCTTCCCTTCCTTACATTCTCTTGACGCTCCTTCCTTTCCTGCTTTTTTTCTAAATGAAACCTTAATTTTAAAAAAATTCACTATAAATCACCCCGGAAAGTTAGTCATAAAGTGAACACTTGATTTCCCACGGCAGAAATACTTCCAGACCACCACGGGCGCGGGTAACGGAATCATGGCCTTGTGTGGAGCCGAGGCCTCCTGGGCTCCCTGACAACGAGTGTAGATCCCCGTACACCGGATGTGAAAAGAATCAACAGATCCCGTGCCCTAGTGAGCCTTGGTCCTTGAAAGGCAGTTTCTGTCAAATATCAAAACTTTTATCGTGATTCGGAACTTCATTTTCAGCGTTTTCCTGTGGAAGAAAGATGAAAAAATACTTTATTCAATTATTGAACGTATACTACAAAAATGTGTGCATGACTGATATAAAAATTTAAAAATAATAAAAAATATTCACAATTTTGGGGTGATTAAAACACAAATTAGAGTTAAGATAGAATTATTCGACATGTCCGGGTAAAGAGCAATGACCATGGAGCTGGACTCCTAGAGCCCACGTGGAGCGAGGGACGGTCCCAGTCTTCACCAGCCAGAGCGGAGACACCTTGTTGAGTGCCCAAGAAATTAGGTACAGACCCCAGAGGGGCTGCACCTTAGTGCAGAGACTACACCATTTATAATAGACTATTATAGACTCTCCCTAAAAGGTTGAAAACAAGACTCAAACTGAGCTGCAAGTAATTTAGCTGCCTGCCAGAACAAAGGGCAATTCTTTTTCAATTATTCTTTAAGAAAAATACTCCAGCATTCTGTACCTTGTGTATGCCTTGGTCATCATCTGATCAAAGAAAATTTAGACATATGACAAATGAGAAAAAGTGATGCGTTACCAAAATAAAAATGAAACAATAGAAATAGTCCCAGAAATTGCATTGAGGATGGAATTAACAAAGATATTAAAATACCTACTTTAAGTCCATACTAAAAGATTTAAAATAAGTGTGAATATCATGAGAAGGCAACTAGAAATACAGAAAAATACAAAATGGAACTTATACAATGAAAACTAAAATTTATAAGAAATAATATTTCAATGAATGGTATTAACAGATATTAGACATTATCGAAGTAAAAATCAGTAAATTTAAAAACATAGCAATAGAAAATAGGCAAATGAGACACGGAGGGAAAACGAAGTTAAAGAAATGAACAGACTCTCAGTGACTTGCAGAATATAGTTGAGGGTGTATTATAAGTATAATCAGAGACCCAAAAGGACAAGGGACAGGCCAGAAAATTGTTTTAAAGAAATAATGACTTGAAAAATATTCAGATATAATGAAAATGTAAATCCAAATCCGTGAAGCTCAAGAAAAACCAAAGAATTTGAACACAAAGAAGATATTAAGTTGCTAAAAACCAGTAATAAAAAAGAAAATCTTAATATAAGCCACAGTAAACTGTTCTGTTGGGTACAGAAAACCAGAGTCAGAATTATGGCAGACAGCTCAGAAACCACATACAAGGAAGGAATGACATTTTTAAAGTGTTGGAAAAACCACCAACTCTCAATCTAGACCTATTTCCGAGGACAATGGAATGACATAAAGTGCGGAAAGAAAGGGAAAAATGATCAACTTCAATGTTCCTATCAAGTGACTTTTTTAAAATTAAGCCAAAATACTTTTCCAATAAATAATGGGCTAAAGCAGTCATAATTCTCACATCAGCACTACTATAAATGTTAAAGAATGTTCCTCAGGATGAAGAAAATAATATCAACATATAAAATTGGGTAAATATAAAAAATTATATTTTTTCTTATTTCAAAAATGTGTTTCAAAGATGATTGCTTAACGCAAAGATAATTCTCATAGGGGTTCTCAAATATGTGTAAGTAAAATGTACTAAAACAATACCCAAGAGGAAGGGGAAATGGAAAAGTATTGTTGTCGGGATCTTACAATGGCCATGAAGTTGTGCAACATACTTCTATTAACATGAAGTTAATGATGCACATTTTCAAATCGACAGCAACCACGCAAACAACACAGAGGTTTAGCAAGTGTATCAACTTTAGGGATAAAGTGGAATGCTAAAAAACCCTCGGTCCAAAAGAAGATAGAGTACAAAGAAAAGGAAACAAAGGGAAGATGAGACAGACAGAAAAAAGAGACAACTGATTCATATCCAACCAGACCAATGATTATAATAAACGTAAATGTGTTGAACCCATCCACAGAAAGGCAGGAATTGTCAGACTGAAGACGAAAGCAAGATGAAAGCTGTTTACAAGAAACTCTTTAAATGCAGTATGTTTTTTATGTTTATTTTTGTATTGTGTAAGTAAAAAAGTGCTTACCAAACAATTTGAAAATGGGAGAAAGTTTAAACTGCTCAGATAATAAGCAATTCCTTGGGAATTCTGAACTAGTAATTTTTCTTCCAACAATTTATGTAATCTTTTTAGTTCACTAGAGCAAGTAACAGGGCCAGTAACAGGGCTATACTTTCTTAGCCATCATTCTGTTTTTATGCATATAAATTTGCCAATACTTTCATAATATAACAAAAAATCTATAATTCCTCAGTTTTTATGAATTAATAAGATTTTATTACAAAGAAACTTTTGTGTATAAACACTACTTGTTCTGTCAGAGAAGAAAACTGTACTTTTATTGTACTTTCTGTAAATAATTAGTACATAACAATATAAATAAGGATAAAATTCAACTGTTTCATTTTTAACTGTGTAAGAGATAATGTAGCCAATTCTCTTTATGACACAAATCATTATTGAAAAACCTTCAAATTCAGCATGAAATGAATTGAAACTCACATCTGAACTCCAAGGTAATTAGGTATATTTCAATCCACATACTTAGTCATTTTCAGCAAATAGAATTTTTTGAGCAGTTACCCTTTCATGACAGTCCTCGTCTGCAAGAGAAGCCTTCTGGAGAAACCCTGTTCAGGAGCATACCTCTCTCTGTTGCAGGTTATCCGGAAAGGAGAAGTCAGCTGCTGCTGGATTTGCACGGCCTGTAAAGAGAACGAATACGTGCAGGATGAGTTCACCTGCAAGGCCTGTGACTTGGGCTGGTGGCCCAATGCAGAGCTCACAGGTAGGAACCCTTGCCTCTCTGACCCTTGGCCTTTCCGTCGGGCCCAGTGGTCACAGGGTGAGCAGTCAGCTCACGTCCTTTTTGATGTTCATTTACAGTGTGCAGTCTCTGACGCTCCTGTCAGAGAGCACGCACAAACCTCTTACAAATGTCCCATGATCTATGCTGAAAGTTTATTTAAATCTAAATGAGAATTTATTGAAAGGGTATTCTGGTGGGGGAGGAGCTTAGGGGATGGAGGGATTGAACAAACAGGAAAAAGGACTCATGGACATGGACAGCAGTGTGGGGATTGCTAGGGGGAGGGGATATAAGGTAATGGAAAAAATATAATAAACAGTAAATTTTAAAACAAAACGAAACAGAAAAGGGCATTATGGTACACCAGTAGTTTTGTTTCTGTTTTAACATTTTATTTGAAGCTACTTCTAATCACTTGAATTCATAGTTGCACACATAAAGATGTTTCACTAGTAAAATCAATGGGACTCACATGGATGGATTATGCGAGCTTGCTTGTCTCCAGAGAGCAATGCTCAGATATCTGTGTTTCGTTTTCCACGGCCCCTGATTTACAGTGGGAGACACATGTCACAAATACTTTGCTCAGATTTTAAGAGTAATAGGGCCATGGAAACTTTGTCCTCTTAGTACTCTGACCCCTCATTTGAGAAAGAGGAAACTGAGGCCAAGGGAGGTGTGTCTGTGTGCCCCAGTCATGTAAACAGTTAGAAGCAGAGCCCAGTTCACGGACTGCTGACCCTGTGCCTTCCTGGCTACTAATGAAAATCATCAGAGAGGGTAACATTCCTGATTATTGTTCCCTTTTTTCTTGTTTCCAAACAAGAGTATAAAACTCAGAAACTATGTAGTTTATTTAAAGCACATTGAAAATGGCTGGGTTAATAGAACAAGGTCACATAATTAAAATGATGCTTACTAAGTGAGAGTGCTTTATCAAATGTTAATCCTGTTAGAAGAAAGTAAATGAAAATAAATACCAATTTTTTTTAGAAATCCCCTTGTGCAAAGGCCTTTTTATTTTTTTTAAGATTTTATTTATTTTTATTTTTAGACAGAGGGGAAGCGAGGGAGAAAGAGAGACAGAGACATCAATGTGTGGTTGCCTCTCATGTGGCCCCCACTGGGGACCTGGCCCACAACCCAGGCATGTGCCCTGACTGAGAATCAAACCAGTGAACCTTTGGTTTGCAGCCCATGCTCAATTCACTGAACCATGCTGGCCAGGGCTTACAAAGGCCTTTTTAAAGAAACGGAAATTATATCAGGATATTGTTGAAAGTACAAACTGTATCTCACTCATCTCTTTATTCTCTAGTTGAAAACTGCTTTTCAACTTTAATGAGCCTAAAAATTACCCAGGAATTACCCACCTGCAGAGATTCTCGTGCACCTGTTCTGAGAGGGGGCCCAGCAGAGTGAGAGGCACTTCATTCCTGCCCCATTGTTACAGAAACATTACTCTCTGGCTCATAGCCTGGTGCCTTGACTATAATCGCTTCTTAATAAACATTTGTTCTTTTGAGAGAATTAAAAAGAAGAAGAGACTCACCCACGTTCAACTAGGTCAATGCAGTTGGTTAATAAGAAAGCCACTATGAGGATCCAGGGCTTTTTGTCCCTGAGTCCAAGGCTCTCACTGTGCCACTTATCTGGTGGTTGTGTGCAATGGACGGGCCTGGAAAGACTTACCCAACCTCTCTCTGGACACGGGCCACCTCCCCCACTCTTCCCGTGTCTCTCTTCACCTCCTTATCCTCCCTCACAGTGTGTGCTTCCTACTGGGACTTTTCGTCTTGAGTAAGTAGGTCCCCTTAGATCACCAGTGGGCTTGAGAACTGGGTTTGACCTCATAGTCGGTCGATTCTGCTACCTGACTGAGACCACCACTGACTAGGAAGAGGTTCAAAGACAAAACGACCCTCTTCCTCAGGTTGACCTGAGTTATCAGAAGTTCAGGCTTTGGGGTACAATAGTTTCTTTTCTTGTCTATGTTTTGTGCAGCTTCCCCAATCTTTTCTTATTACTCCATTTTCACATTAATTGAGACTTAACTCATAAATGAAAAAATTTCTATCCTATTTTAAACCATTAAAATACAGAATGATCTAGTATGTTATAATAGTGAGACTCAAAGTCATATTTTTACTCTCTAGAGATCTTCCAACAGCCCACTGACAAATGAGCACCATCACTGATCAGGGCACTTTGACTTAGAAAATAAAACAACATTCTCCTTGACCATAAACAGATGAATATTAATGCAGTTATCCTTCTAAAGAATGTAATGCACTACCATCCATCATATGTGCAGTGGTCACTTTCATATTCAAATGAGCTGAGCCAAGCAGGAGCTCAGATGGTCTTTGTGTAGGGACAGACAAGTGTCTCATCTGCCCAGGTTACTTTGCCAATCTTGGGTGTAGAATCTTCTAGAATACCTCACACACGAGTTTAGACTTACTGTTAATTGCCATCTGCTGTTTCCTATCCCTTTGCTCTGATCCATGATGGAACAGGAGATCTCATTGGCCACTTATTTTGTGCTGTGTCAGGCTCGGAGCGAAGGTGCCGCACATGGCGATGTGGTGTTGGTGGTTGCCATGGGAACGGTAGTTGTTTTAAAAAAACCTGCACAGAATACCAAAAATCAGTAGAAACTCAGAAGAATAAATGCATTGCCTTCAACTGGGTATTTTTTTTGTAGGTAGATTTTATTTTTTAAATAAATTTTAGTGAAGATGAGAAATTATTCTTTCTGGGAAATGGTGTTTTTTATTGAAGACAGAGTTTGTAAAAAGATGTTTAAAATTATTAGATAGTTACTCTCCATATATGGAGACTAATATTGTGAATAAAAGACTCTAATATTGTGAATAAAAACATGTTTGGAAGGAAGTTTTTATTTTTATTAGCACATGGTTTGGGGCTATGAAGAAAAATTGGTATATTTCCTAGAGGAAGTGATTTCTAAATCTGTTAATAAGTGTCTCATAATTTCTTTTGGGAAAAATGCACATTTTAATTCAGCATTTAAATGTTATACTTTATTTTTTATGATGCATAAACAGGGATCTCTTCTGCCATAACACGTTAACCTGACAGTAGTTTAACGATTCATGGGCCAATTATATATAATTCAATGCTACTCATTTCTTTGAAAGAGCCAAATAGTGTAAAACAGTTCTGTAGAAAGCCAGACTGCACTAAATTTAATCATCAAAGATGTAAAATACTGAATTATAAAAATGAACTCATTTTAACTATTTCTCTTCATTGCAATAGTTGTTGTGACCTCCTATGCTGTCTACTCATTCATTTGCTTTTATATTATACACTGCCATCCACTTAATGGCAGGTGATTTTTTCTGAGCAACTGGGGATATACAGGTAAAGAAAATAAGGTTTATATCATGGAGAATGTGCTTCATAAAAAACTAGACATGCAAACAGTTAAGTATGGTATAAGTCCTATAATAAAGAATATGTGAAAAATGTCATATGAACACAGAATAAAAAGCCATTATTTCTTTCAGGGAAGAGAAAAACCTTTACAGGGGAAGAGTTGAGCATTGAATAATAAATAGAATTATACCTTGTAGGTAATTCATGTTAATGTGATAAGATTAAAGAAAGCATTTCAATGAAGTCTTAGGTAATCACAAAGTATTACTGTAAATGTTATTAAATGCCCAAGATACTTTGAATTGAATAATTACGGCCTTTATTTTTTTATTCATATTACATTCATCTCTACCTAATTGCAAAGAAGTCCAATAGTAAATTTTAGTTTCTTCCATTGCATTTGGATCTTATGGGTAAGCCAAAATTTGTGTCGAAAATTAGAAATAATCCCTGGTCATCAAACCAGAATCATGACCACTTGTCTTAGATTTTGCTCAGTGATTTGTAGTCTGCTTGAAGAAAACTGACTTGTCGGATGGCTCTGGATTCTCAGGGTTAACTCTAACCATGGAAACTGTCAGGTTCGTAAGCTCTCAGGTCTTTACACATAGTATGCACGACTCCCATAATGTCCTCTCCATCTGGGTGCTGAGGGTCGGGTAGGCTTCTTGGCAATTTGGAAGGTTACCTCCACCTCTTCTAGACCTGGGATTTTCAAATATACCTGGGGGTTGGACAATGCTTCTCTTTAAACCTCAAAACAGGACAACAAAGTACATTCTATTACATATTAAATTACATATATGGACAATATAGATATTACACCTAACTCCCTAAAGATATCAAAGCTAGTGATTCTCGAATTTAGAATGTCTAAAAAATAGAAAAAAGAAAAGAATAATAAGAAGGAGGAGGAGGAGGAAGGAAGAGGAGAAAAAGAAGAAAAATACTTTGAGAAGCTTATTCAAAATGTTAATGTTCCGTTCTAATCCCTACTGGATGCTAGTTTGGGTTGTCCTGGATTGGCATTGAAAAGCCCAGTTTCCACATAAGGAAAATAACTGCGGATCTTCACAGGAGATAAAACAATCATAGGGGGGTCATAGTTATATTGGTTTGAGGTATTGTTATGATAAAGTGCTACTGTTACAAATACTAGAACACTTGTATTCTTTTCTAGCATGTTAAAAAATTTTCACTGTTTGAGTGGTTTTATTAAACCCAGGTATCTGATGTTCCATCAATAGTGAGATTATTGGTAGACATAAAGGCACCTCTACCAAGAAGAATATGTTGCTTCCTTTAGAATTTCAGAAGAAGGACAAGGGGTTCTTGGGTGCCAATGTCTTCCATACAGTTAAGTCACTGGGCAAAGTTTAAGTAGCTGTCCTTCTGAGCTTTGGTTAATGTGAAATATTAGTTCTTTAAATGACACTGCTGTTTACAGTTTTATAGGGTTTTTTTGTCTATACACTCCCAAATCATAGACAATAGAGGTTCCTTTTTATTGTTTTACCTAAAGATTCATAATTCCTTTTATACTTTATCAAACTGCCTAGTCACATATAGAATATTTGTGAATCGGTAATTATTTATTTTAATATCACTCTCTGGTTTAATTTCCCTAATTCAGGTTTGAGCCTATTCATAGGAATAAAAGATGTGGACCTCCCCATTTCAGCTGTTGAGTCCACCCCAAAATTTTAAGAGGCTTCCTAAAGTCTATCTTTCATCTTTATTCAGTTTATAATTTTGAATCTTTACTTAAAAAGGCTTCTGAAATTGCCTTATGTAATGCATTTTCTACTTTTATATTTAAATTCTTACACTACTGGGTTATTTAAGTCTTCTCTTTTCTAATCTGCTGCTTTAAACATTTTCCTCCACAAGGCTAACAATCAATTGAACTAATTGGTATAAATCTGTAATGTGGGACAATAAGTATCTGATAAAACTTCTGAATTTTGCAGAAAATGTTTTGCTTCTATGTCTGAAGTTTAGGAAAACCATTAATTATAGCTCTTAATTTGGCTCAGGGTCTTAATCCAGCTTTCATAGATCTCAGTTGTGTTCTATAAATTTAAATGTGTTATCCTTTTCTAATGAAAACTCTGAAAACAGAATAGTTTATTTAAAAATTCAGGTAAATTTACACAGAAAAAGAGAAATGTAGAGGGTTACTTTCAGAAGGTTACCAAGGCCTTGACAAGGACTACTTTACAATTTAAATTTTATTTTACAATCTCAGTATGTTAGTTAAAAAGCTGAATATTGTCTGTGTAGTATTTTATTTTCTAATTTGTCTACAAACCCTTTTAAATACTCTAATTTTTTAAATTGTATCATATCAAAAGTTCTCCTTAATGGTCATTGTTATTCTATCTATCTACTCATCTTTCTAAACTTTACCAAGGAGAGGAGAAGATTTAAAATTAAAACGTGACTTTTTATAGGAAGCAGAAGTTATTACAGGAAGAGATTGAGACATGGATGTAAACAAACCTCTGACAGATAAGGAAGAGAGGCCACTGTGATCCGTCAGCAGTTTGTGCTTGTGAATGGCTGGCATTCATTTATTAAATGTGAGGCTGTTCCTGATTGGACAATTATCAGAAGCAAGTGCTGACACTGATTGGTTGGCATGCAAAAACATGTTCACTAAGAGGTTCTGTCGTAGATCAAGGGAACAGGTTTAAAGCAGGTTCTGGTAGTTCTTTGTTACCATGCCTCCAGAATAGTGTCTTCTCCTAAATTTATGGAAATATTTTTATTCTTTCAATTTGGAAAGTATTGGCATAGACCAAACACAGAACTTTGTTAAGGAGTTGTCTCCAGGACCTGAGACAATTTTTTTAGGTGTGTGAAATACAAACAGATTTTATTCTCTATCTCAAAGGCAAAGGTTAGCCAGGCATTTAGGAACATAACTCTGCCTCTTTTTTCAAGAGATGGGTGAGGGGAGATGTCATTGTTCCTTGGTATGTCTACCAGAAGCTCATAACTAAGAGGTGCTCAGTGGTCACATACAGATCATATGTAACTAAAGGGGTGAGACTTAAGATTAATAATATAATATGTGGTAAATAGAATGGGAACTCTTCTAGAGAATTGAAGTGTATGTTTAAAACACCCTGCTGGCCAAGAAAATGCTTGTCTGTGAGCTGGACTTAATTCTACACAATACTTACATAAAAATAAAAATGTTACTAGTTTATTTCTTACTAACTTATCTAATGCACCCTCACTATTTACCCTTTCCTGTAAACGTGGTTAAACTCCCTTCATTTTCTTTCTCTTTCCGAAAATGTAGAACCAAGTATCACCCACAGAGTGTCATCCTTTTAAGATGCTGGTTGTTGGAAGAAAAAGATTATTTTTACAGGTTCAAGTATGCCACATTCAGGCTGTGATACAATTAGGTTTGGAAGCATGATTTTCCAGAGAAAACAATGGTGTATTTTTATTTGTATAAGAGTAAAAGGATTTTTAAAAGCATTAAGATAACATAAGCCATAGAAGATGTGGATTTAGCTATGCCTCTGGCAACTAGAAAGCCCTATTATTGCTGATCGGTAGAAATCTTGGAAGCATTTTGAAACTACTTTTCCCCTCACAGGCTGTGAACCCATTCCTGTCCGCTACCTTGAGTGGAGTAACATAGAGTCCATCATAGCCATCGCCTTTTCCTGCTTGGGCATCCTCGTTACCGTGTTTGTCACGCTCATCTTTGTGCTGTACCGGGACACACCAGTGGTCAAGTCTTCTAGTCGAGAGCTCTGCTACATTATCCTCGCTGGTATCTTCTTGGGTTACGTGTGCCCTTTCACCCTCATTGCCAAACCGACCACCACATCCTGCTACCTCCAGCGCCTCCTGGTGGGCCTGTCCTCTGCCATGTGCTACTCGGCTTTAGTGACCAAAACCAACCGCATCGCGCGCATCCTCGCTGGCAGCAAGAAGAAGATCTGCACCCGGAAGCCCAGGTTCATGAGTGCCTGGGCCCAAGTGATCATTGCCTCCATTCTGATTAGTGTACAGCTAACCCTGGTGGTAACCCTGATCATCATGGAGCCCCCCATGCCCATTCTGTCCTACCCGAGTATCAAGGAAGTCTACCTTATCTGCAATACCAGCAACCTGGGTGTGGTGGCCCCATTGGGCTACAATGGACTCCTCATCATGAGCTGTACCTACTATGCCTTCAAGACCCGCAACGTGCCCGCCAACTTCAATGAGGCCAAATATATCGCCTTCACCATGTATACCACCTGCATCATTTGGCTGGCTTTTGTGCCCATATACTTCGGGAGCAACTACAAGATCATCACTACCTGCTTTGCAGTGAGCCTCAGTGTAACGGTGGCTCTGGGGTGCATGTTCACTCCCAAGATGTACATCATTATCGCCAAGCCGGAGAGGAACGTCCGCAGTGCCTTCACCACCTCCGATGTAGTGCGCATGCATGTCGGCGACGGCAAGCTGCCCTGCCGCTCCAACACTTTCCTCAACATTTTCCGGAGAAAGAAGCCGGGGGCAGGGAGTGCCAAGTGAGTAATCTGACCCGGTTTGTTCAGTTTGTTCTCTCTCTCCCTCCCCTTCTCTCTCTCCCTTTCTCTCTCTCTCCATTCCTCTCTCTCTCTTTGACTAAATCATGTCTTCACTTTCCCAAGTGGTTATTATATTTTCTTAATCTTTTTTTCTTTTTCTCTATTTTTACCTTCTGTTGGAGTAGAAATGTCTTGTTTTCATTCCTTTGAGAGCCAGGAGCATGAAGCAACAACCAGCTGATCACACCCATATTCTGACCTAGAATCTGCAGCCTCTGTTCTGACAATAATTTTTTCTCTTCATATGGGCCCTTGCTCTGTGGAGCATCGAGGCCTCTCTGAGATCTGGGTCAGAGATGCAAACTCTCATTTTGATTGCTAGTTTAGACCATAGTGAAGATCTTTTCCAATTTGTTATTGCTCTAGAGCCACATCGTTACTAATTTGGGATGAGGGGAAGGAAACTAAGCACTTGGGGAGATTTTTCAAAATCTGAGTTGAAACTGAGCACCAAATATGTCCTGAAATAATTTCCTTTAAGCAACTGTCATATCATGTCCCTCTTATGTATTGAACTTTAATGCATGTTATCATAAAGATGTTCTACATGCTATACACGAATTGAGCAATCTCTACTACAAGGCCATGATCAAAGTGGTTTCCTAGAGGTAAAGTACCAAAAGAAATAAGAACCAGATAAATGTGTTAAGGCCCACACTTGAGAATCAGTGTGAATATCAAAGTCCAGATTATTCCATTCTGTTAATTTTTTGACAGATTTGTGTAATAAATGCTTTCCCATCTTCTTCAAGGCTCTGTATTGCAAAGAAGCACATGTTAAATTTTGCATGACTCATCTTCTTCTGAGACCCATGGGACAAATCTATGTAACATTTACAATTTTGAACATGACATGGATGCTTGAAGTTCTAAAGGAAATTGAATTGTCCAAAAATAAGCCATTTCCCCACTAACAGTATTAATTATACTTTTCGAAACAATCCTTTAAATACAGAATTATAGTAGTAATTATTATAACATATACATTGCTTTAAAAGTATCCCACTTGCCTGAACAAGTCATCAAGATAAGGGGGATGGCTGTTATTTTTCTCTCCATTGTAGTTGACAAAACGGAGCCTCTGTGAATTTGTGTGAATCACAAGTATAATTTCACTTAGTTAGTCATTCTTTTTTCTGCCTTAGCTGGCATAAAATTTCTCCTCTTAAAATACATCAAAAAATCTATATGCCTTAGTTTTGTGTCTTTACTTGCCAAACAGCACCAGCTATCTTTAAAGAAATCATATTATTGGTTCAATGACAAGATGAGGGAGTCCATGGAAAATATATTTTTGAAATCCATAGTTATTTCAAATGAGGACATTCCTCATTTTTTCAGTATTAAGGATGAAGCAATAATTTATACCTGCTTCTTACTGTATCAACTCCGAGTTCTTCAGAGGATGCTGATCATCAAAGTTGCTTAGTCTTTTTTTCCCTTGCCAGTATATAGCTTCTTATACTGGCCAGCATCCCCTTAGCAGCCTCCTGCAGGGAATTATCAACAATCAGGGGAGCAAACCCACAGTGCCATTAAATGAGAAAAAACACAGGCCATAACCACAGAGTCCAGATGTAAAACAGCATAACCGTTTTCATCGAGAGGAAGAGAACAAGAGGAAACAAACTGAAAATAAGGGAGAAGACACCCTTTGAACTGGAATGTGCAGAGGAATTAAGAGACATTCCTTTTTGCACCCCACGTGGCTTTATGAGTGTTCTGTCCCACCATCCAGCATGATCCAGCTCCATGTTCCTTACTTTCCTGCCTTCATTATGGTCCTTCAGAAACTTTCATTTGATTTTGGTCAAGGGTCGTTCATGAAAGTTGTTCTTCTAACCACTTTAATGAAAACAGAGAGCCTATGGGATCAGGATACCTTGTGCAGGTTCCCAAGCATGTGCTCCCCCAGTGATTCTAGGTGCAGACAGTACATGGACCTGCCCAAGAGAAGAGTGACTGTCAGAGAGTGCACAGTGCTTGCCTGTGAGACAGTGAAGCTAGCTGGATGTTGCATGAACAAGGCTTAGCACCTCTGTAGCATCCGGGCATTGCTGTACATTCTGACCACTTTCTCACACCTGCAGATTCTTTCCTTATAAGCTGACAATATCCCCTTCATTATTATAAATTTAGGAATTAGTTTTATTTGGGATCCTGCTATCGAGAGAAAAATCAGCTTGGTCTAAATTGGACTGGTTCTCTAGGAAATGCTGGTTTCACCAGTAAGTTGCATACTTATTGGTTATAATTGATCAAGCACTACTGTATGAGATTATTACAGTAATAAAAACACTTCTAATTAATAATTACAACATTCAGCTTTCATCGTAAAATCTGTAGCTTCTCCACAGTACAAAACACAGCTAAGCTCATCCACACAGGGTATTTGAGGCTAAACTTCTATGGAAAACAGCATTCATTTATTCATTTTTCTCATTTATTCTACTGTTGCTTCTCCTATAACTCCTGCTGAGACTATAATTTTCAAATATAACAATAATCTCAGTGCCCATGTTTTCACTTTTTCATTGCTGTTATGTTTTCCTTGTTTGTCACTAAAGTTATAAAAACTACAAACAACCTGGTATTTTCTACAGCAACAAAAAATCCAGCAGACTTTCCAACAGAAGCAAGGGGCTGAAAAACTTTAGGGAACAAACACATCACCAAATCAGTTTATTGCCATTCTGGATATGTAATTTCTACATCTGTGGTGCACTGAAGCTGTTCAGCAGTCTGCAGACAGAACTATAAACACAGAACAGATGCTGTAATGAAGAGCTTCCAACTATCTATCTGTTTGAATATCATTCTGAGGAGTTACAAGTCCAACTACATTCTCTTAACAGGATGTTTCTAAGATACAGGCTGTTTATGGGTGGGATGACCTTGTGGGTCTGTTTCTGCAAAGTTTACCTCAGTTTTTTAATTTTCATTCACAGACAAATATCCTACTCATCCAAAGGTTTGGGCAGTTGTTTAACATATTCCAAAATGCCAAGTCAGAAGAGTTTAATCAATAAATTGGTTGTTTGGGTTACTCGAGTTACTTAGAGTTAGAAGTTCTATTAAACATAATCCTACCCTGGAATACCAACTGAATAATATATTTGCCTCAAAATTTCTAACTTCTTTAGCTATTAGTTTAATGTATTGGAATGAAAAAACATTTAGGCTTAACCTAATATAAAGATATTGATAAAATTCTCTTTGTTGGCAATAAAAGAAAGATAGAAATCCATAGATATTCATAATTAAATAAATTATTCAGATCCAAGTTATGTATCACACCTTTTTAAAGCCAAAATGAGTAAACATTATGCAACTGAAAAATTAAAATATTATGTAAATTACATGTGCCCTTTAAAAAGCGTATCAATGACTAAATGTCAAACTAACCTCTCTAGTTATTTTCTAGATAAATAACCTCAATGAGTGTCAAACAATTTCTCATTCTATGGCATGTGGAGCTAAAAGGTGACAATACACTCCTACAACCTTTCTCAATAATAGCACTATATAAAACTAAAACAACTGCAATCACCAAAAAGGCATTAGATCGATGCAAGCAAATAATTTTAAAACATAGGTTTCCAATTAAATAGAATGTTATTGTGTTTCTGAGATTGCTTGTTGAGCATGCGAATATATGTTTACCCTGAGAACAGGAAGTAAATGAAATACTAAATAGGATGATGATGTGATGAGGAAATTTTGCTCTTATTCTCCTAGAAACATTTTTTCGTCCACAAGTAGAGGTAAATAAGCCTACAGCCCTAGTGATTATGCCTTCAGTAAGCATTTTAATTTGTCTTTCTTCCTTTGATTATAACAGGGAATATGATAGTGAGCCAACAGACATTGCAATCAAATAGAGATAACAGGCTCTCTCTCACAGAAAGTCTCGCTCACTATTCTAGCTTCTAAATGAAAAACATCTGTCACTTTGAAGTTGTTTTTCCTTTACTAATACAACAAATGGCTTTAAAAGTTATTGCAATCCTTAACTTGCTTTTATAGTAAATATCAGAAGATTTTATCAAAAGAAAGCATTGTCATAGAATTTAACTATTTCATAGTAACATTTATGGAGGACCTACTTACTATTCATTCATTCATTTATTCAATCAGTCATTGTTTCAATCATTGTAAGCTTGAAAGCACTTAGGTACTTGAGTGGTGCTAAATAATATTCAAGATAAAAAAAGATACAAGAGGAGAGACTGACTGCACCAATCTTGCAATTTTACTAGTAAGGAGGACTTTCAAAACCATGACAGAGTATATTGGATTAGGTGCCATAATAGAGGACCAATAGAGGACCAAATGTTCTTCCCTGAACATTTTGAGTGTTCAGGGAAGAAAGAGATAAAGTTCAGCAGATGAAGCAGTATCTGTGGAAAGATGGAAAAATATTTCTTAATAAAAGTGGATTTGACCTAAATGATGTTTTTCAACAGGACATACTATGCTATGATGAGACCATTTCACATATGGAAAACATGTCTGTGAAAATTCAGTGGCCTTCCAGGCCACAGCATGAACTTTGGTACGAGTTAAGGACATGAAGCGGTGTGGTGGTGGGTAAATTTGTAAGTGCAGAAAGAGGACAGATTATAGATAGTGACCAATGTTCTAAGATGAACCTAAGGTGTTTTTAAATATAAACTACAGGATGCAGTAAAGATTTTTGTGAAGTTTGATGACCATGTGTAAGCCAGTTGGGAAGAGGTTGACTGTACAAAGACTAGTTCATAGAGTGCTATAATAATGCAAATGACAGTTTAAAAATAAGTTTTAAACTAGAGTGGTAAAATGAAAGTCAAAGCCAAAGCATGCATATAAAAAAGTTTTCTGGGCTTAATTTGTTACAACTGAAATATTGGTTTGTGGAAAGGAAGGAACAAATAAAAATGAAATACAACTTTCATGAT